ATCGAACTGTCAAAGATATGAAAGCATTGCCAGACTAAACTTACATAAAATCATTGCCAGATTAAACTTACATAAAATGCTTTATACAATAACAAGATGTTTACACAGTGATTAATAGAAAAGTAGAAAATAATGCAATCATATAATAAATCTGCTACATCATTTATTTGGTACTTTCCTATCCTCTTACCAAAAAATTTGCTTTGAAATGTAGATGCTAAAGATTTTTGGAAAAAAAAGTGTGAGTACGGTTCGTCAGGTCTTGAAATTAGAGGAATGTTTTAAATAATTTTATGTAGTTTTCGAATATATGATTTGATCTTTTCGAGCGACTTTGCAAATATATGTAATTTTTAAATTTTCTTAGTTTTTAATTTTCAGCTTCTTTTTGCATAATTTCGCGAAAAGAATTTTTCGAACAATGAAAAAATCTGACCAAACATTGGGAAAAAACCGAGTATTTACACCTAAGTCATTATATAGTATAACCTTTGTTTTCTGAAACCATGTTCTGACCGACAACGAAAACACTTTGAAAACGAGTTTTGGAATTGTGGGCTTAAGGCTGTTCACACTGGCTGTTAGTGTTTTCGTTGACATTTCTTACATTCTCTCATTGCAGTTTTGCTACACAAAAACAAAACCAAAATGCTTTTCCCACATTTTCTTTTCATTAGCAACCTCTTACTTTCAATCTTATTTTACTTTGGCCAGCCAATTAACAATAAATACGAAATAGCGCATTAAAGATGATAAAATATGACTTCCACTTCGATAAATAATCGAAAAAAACTAGTGAAGACACCGATTGGAACGAGTGGAACGTGAGTTTTCAAATAGTTTTCAGCGAAAACTGGTTTTCGTTTGAAAGATTTTACATGGACGAAAACACATGTTTTAGGTCGAAAACTAGTTTAAGCAACGAAAACATGTTTTCGATGTCGGTCAGAACATGGTATGAGAGTGGAAAGCAGGAAATAAAAATTAACCAAAATTCCATCACATTTAATGACCAGGCCCACATTTTATGTGAGTTTTGGCCGTTATAGTATATATTTTATATTTAGGTTTTTCTAATAAAAGAGGAAGCACAAATTAAATTTCATCGAAATCGGATGTAATTTAACTTTTCCGCCCACAAGAGTAGAAGGCGTGGCAATTGTTCCATCTTTACCAAAATTCATAACTCCCTATATCTAAGAAAAACGGGAGCACATGTAAAGTTTCAGTGAAATCGGTGCAAGTTTACTATTATTTCCACCTGCCTCCATATAGTCGAACACTGTGCGCCAATGGGAAACCGGAGCTGGCTAGCGACAAAGCTTTGAGCAGCGGAGGGTCGTCGAAGTCGATACCCAAAGCTGTCTCTGTCCCGGGTGGGATTTCTGGTCCTGCATAGGCGAAACCGCCCTGCATTAAGCGCTTAAGTAGGGCCTGCACGGCCGGTGCCTCAGGGCGTCCTAGCCAACTCCTTCTGGTACGATGAATAAAGGCGTCGGAATTCTGCCGGTAGCGGGTAGCGCCTGTGCGAAATCGCAAGGAGTATCTGGGGGTGCGGTGCATGGTGGAAACGCCAGGACCAGCAAGGGTTTCTCGCCGCGTGTCTTCGGAGTTTCGAGGACCTCGGATGGGGCACCTCAGGGGAGGCCTAAACGGCGCGCCACCGCGGCGAGAAAGACTCGCTCGGACCGTCGCATGGCCGCCAAAATTTTAGAACGCTAGGGCGAACAGTGTGGTGGTCAAATTACTGATCAGCTT